AACTACCGCGAGGTGCCGCGATAGCGCCGCCAATCCTCTTACGTGTAAGCCTCTGGTGTATGATCCAGGTTTAACGTTGGGGTTTTGAAGTTCCGAGGAGACAGCATATGTATATCGGCAGAAGCCTTCATTCTGAATCTTTGCCACACTTCACGCAGATACTCCGAGAGATGACTTCGAAAACGATGAAAGTCATTTCTGTCAATGTAGCCTTCACTGTAGTCTCAGATCAGAGCCCCAGCAATACGTATGAATCAGCGTGGGCCTTGACTGACTCTTATTCCTAAACAAGAGTATCCCTAAAACTAACCCTGCCATTAGACCTTACGTTGGCGCCACTGGTGACAGTAGTTTTTCGTTTCATGTTCACCCAAAACTGTTCTCATAGATTCACGTCTTAGCTCCTATGGATTAAAATCCTATGTCGACGGAACCCCACTATACATTCCTGTTTTAACTCTCATATCGACCTGAAAGTTAACCTAATAACATACATCAGCCTGATTGGCCCCCCCCCCCCGATAGTAAGGACATCGCAGTCCCTTTGGCAACCCTGATGTTGGATATGACTCCAAGATGGACCTTGCTCGCAAACTTAAAATTACCCATAAACGGTTCGCATTAGTAACATTCGCACTGTACCGGACACTTGCTTCAACAGCAAGCCAAATAATTGCTTTAGGAGAAACCCCTTAATTCATCCAGATGCAGCAGTGGGACCCCTAGCACGAGCATTTCAAGTCCCCGGAGTTCAAAGTCATGGCATACCTAATACGATTTACTGTTAATATGAAGACTGGTAAGCTAAATACTTGCCTAACAGTAGCCATCACGTTCATGCAAGTATTAAACTACACAAAACTTCAAAACGATACCCACTAAGAGCCACGAGCCTTGCTGTCTTCGCTCTGGCGTTGCACAAATGATGGCCCTCCGACTTTTAGGGATGATACCGGCGTGTGTTTGTTTACCTCATCATATTGAATATGGCACCCCTTTGCTCATTGCAGCATATGATCATCTCGGACTCGTTGACGGACTTGCCCGTATGCGTGTATGTACAATCATGTGTGTATATATATACACATGCTAAGGATCACTCCTGATTCCAGACGACATCAATGCCCTAACCCTATCCTTGTCATTCGCCCTTGTGTCAATGGTATTCGCCCCGACAACAGCCCTAAGGCCATCCATAGTAGGCTTAGTATCACCCATAACCTTAGTCAGCTAGAAGAAATCGTAGTGGTAGCTGTGATAACCCTGATATCCTTGGTCCTAATCTGTGTTAAACCTGCAGTACTAGCTCCCTATTTGCCCCAAAACTGATCCGAATAATGGCCTGGTTATTACCTATTGAATAGTATTTATGCTAAGCGGCATCGAATCCCAGTAGTAATGACACTCGACGCACCTTATTGGCAACAGGAATTCGTAACGCGCGCAAACAACAAATGAAATACACACTCTTTGCTAGGAAAATTTGGTCTTCGAGTGGAATACAGTACCAACTGTCCCTAGGAAAAAGAATGGTATTGGGCCGAAAAGCACTCCCTCTTCCTAGGAAAAAGATGGTTTTGGGCCAAAAAGCCAATTTTCCCTAGGGAAGACAAGAACAAAAAAACAAAAAAACATCTTTTGGGAAACTACAGAACACGGCCAGATTCCACGAAGATTGTTTGGAGCCTGGCCGTATAATTTCCTAAAAGATTGTTTTTGTTATGCTCTTTTGGTTTTCCCTAAAGAAAATAGGTTTTGCCCAAAACCATCTTTTTCCTAGGAAGTAATGTTTTGTTTGCCCAAAACCATCCTTTTCCCAGGAAAAAATTGGTTTTTGCAACGAAGACTAACTTTTCCTAGAAAAAGCAGAAAAAGCTATCTTTTTGGAGTCTGGCCGTATAGTTTCCCAAAAGATGGTGTTTTTGGGATTATTGGGTTTTTTCCCTAGGACAGAGTTGGTTTTCGATTGGACGAGTACGTTGCTTGGCGGTTGGTTTTTGATTGGACAAGTACAATGTTGCCGTTGAGCGCGTGCTCACGTCGAACCTGAACGAGTTGCCTGGCGAGTTCTCTGGAAAATGTGAGTTTTGGTTTTGGCAGTCTTTCAGAGGTACGGAATCCCGACCTGCCGGAAAAGCTGGCTTAACACGGTATTTCGATACAAAACGAGGGTCCGTAGTTTACGGGGAGGGGGGGGGTGTTACTACAAATACATGTATAAATATATATTTATATTTATATTTATATTTATATTTATATTTATATTTATATTTATATTTATATTTATATTTATATTTATATACATACATACATATCCCCATGTATATAGACCAACCCAAAATGGTGCACAGCTGAATAGTTTGTACAGTATGTATGTATGTATGTATGTATGTATGTATGTATGTATGTACTTATGTACTTATGTATAGATGTATGTATGTATGTATGTACGTATGTATGTATGTGGATGTGTGTGCATGTGCATGTACACATATACATATGTATGCCTATGCTTGTCCATGCATGCAAGTAAGTAAGTATGTATGTATGCATGCGTGTGTGTATGTATGTTTGAATGTATGTATGCGTATGCATGCATGCATGTATGCATGCAAGTAAGTAGGTGTTTGTATACGTGTGTGAGTGTGTGCTTGCATGTATGTATGTACGTACGTAGATACGTATGTATGTATGATGTATGTATGTACGTATGTATGTATGTATGTATGCACGTACGTACGTATGTATGTATGTACATACGTGCGTACATCTATATGCAGGTGTGTGTGTGTGTGCGCGCATATGTATGTGCGAGCGACGGCTGTTTTACGATGTCATGCGGGAGAGCAATGCCATCCAAAACAAGACATGTCGTCATGTCGTGGCGCCCTTTGTCGGATTTCTCACCTGAGTGGCTCCACAGCAGAGTCCAGGACGCGCTGCTGCGCAGGGTCGGTGACACCTAACTCGGCCTGCCAGGTCAACACAACACGGTGCAGGATCATGACCGTCATCGTCTGCACCAGCATTCGACTCTTACAATGTCCCACACACAGGCGACAAGTCACCCAAGCAGAGTCCGCCCCGAGCTGCAGCAGGAGGCGTCCATCCACGTTGCGAGAGGCAAAGGCTTCCACATGCTCGCCTCCGCAGTCGACTACGGATCCCACTGGCAGACTGCAGAGATCTTTACTTTCTCCACATCGTGGACCGGTTTTGCACAACCGAACCGATCGCAAACAAAAGGCACCTAGCATTTGTTGGAGGAAGTCTTCTGAACTCTCTTGACGTGAGCTTCCTGACCTAGATCTGGGTATTGTAAAATGTGTCGAAACGTCTCCACATAATGGCATAAGACAGGCTTGGAGAGCTCAGCCTATGCCCAGCCAGTGGAGCCAAACGCTAATGTCCTCCACCGTCCACGACCTGGGGTCCTTGGCATGGCTTCGTGTGCTCAACATGCTGATCTGTGCTCGAGCCTCTTTTGACTGCTGTACTGACGTCGGGTGTCCTTGATGAGGGCTGCCGGCACGTCTAACGACAGGGAGTTTGGTGGCATCCGCGACGCCTTGCATGCTGAGCCAGCTGCTAGGCTTAGATTTGTTACTCGATTTTTGTAGGATAGAGAGCTATCGAGCTCGAGGCCCCGGCAAGGCGAAGGACAAGCAGTGTCTTGGGCAAAAGCCCAACCTACGGTGGCTATGCCAGCTCGGCCATACTTGAAGGGCGGGGCCCTGCCAACGAAATACAGCCATGATGATGATGAGGTAGGTGGGGTGGGGCGAAATGAGTCACGGGGTGGGGTTGTTGCTTTCGAAACATTAGCTGCACTCCCGTTCCGCCTGCCCACTCCTCTACTAAGACACATGGACACCTAGCATACGTCTAGTTGAGGCATAGCCGCTAGCCACCATGACGATCACGCCATATGTTCAAACTCGAGCCAAGGGCTGTTTCCAGACAAAGTTTGCTCCTAGCCTTATCAAGATCCAATGGCGATAGCCATTCATGACATTTCTGACATGTTGAGGAGCTGCAGCCAATGACAAGAAGCTAACAACGCCGTCACTCACATGCGCCCCCTCGTCACTCTCCTCATCAGCACCTCGTCCTTCTGAGTCAGCTCTGGTGGAAGTTCCTCGGACCTCTGTTCCGGCACGGCCTCGGGACGGGGATAGATAGTACATGACAGGCGGAACCTCTAGCCTCTAACCAGTAGGCACCTGGAGGGCCAGGACCCCGCGGAGGGGGTGTATCTGACGGAAGGACATTTGATGTGGGTCATAGGCAAAAGGATAGGTAAGGTACAGTATGCGGACGACGCTACTTCCCCACTTCGCCTGACAGAAAGCCATGCCCAAGCGCTTTGTGAGCTCAACGCTTGCTTTTAGTTTTGGTGGTTTGCAGGCTTGCCCTCACAACCGGGGCTGGCGCCGTATCCTCGGGAAGCAGACGGAGGCGCACATCGACAAACTGTGAAAACAGGGTGGCAGTTCTCGCTCAAATCCGAAGCTGTGACGATGTCCCCTTGCACGCTCGTTACAGCCTCCGCTTCGCGCCGTACTGCCAGCCACTCGCAGCCAGCCGCAGAGCCGTGGCTTTGAAGAGGGGGCGCCTTGACTGTTACTGGGTATCTTCTATGCAGCACAATGTTCCTCATCACGCGCCACCGGCCCCTTGGAAATTTCGGCGACAGCTCTCGAAGTTGCAGTGTCAGCTCGTCTGCACAACGGATTTCGTGCAAGCGTCGTTGTGTACCCACTTGTCCATGCATGCACAGCCGACACCCTGATGTGTCACATGCGAGATATTGCGTTTACATGGCGGTTTTATGCGGTTTTGCAAGTCTACTTTCACGGGATCGGATTTGTATGGATATTGAAATATTCTTCTCTGCTGCCTCATAGCCCAGCATGCACACGCTCGAGTTTGTGTGCGGCGTGCGCTGCCATGCTCGCACAACGCAGCTACCGCATGACACAACAGCATGCAGTATCCGTATAAGTATGTTCCAAGATAAGGCTTCTGGTCTGCACGATCTGGCATATTATTATGGAGCCAGCATCTTCTTGATGCCTGTGACGAGATGCGAACGTTTACGCACGGGTGTCGCAAAGGGGACCTTGATGCTGCTGACTTCTCGACCGCGCTGGCATTACAACGGTGTTTGCCTGAAGGAAGTGCGAGCCGGAACATTGTGTGCAGTGGTTATTGTGTGCAGCACGCATTGTGTCTTCTTGTGCTTCAGTCTTGAGTCCTGAGACACTAAGTTGGGGTCAACTTCCAGCCGCAGCCCCGTACTAGAGTCCCGACCTGTTCCAGCAGGTGCCGGACATCACCTGGGGTCTGCCCAGGAGCGAGGTCCTCACCGTGCAGACATATTTTCGGACACGTACACGACAAGTGTGAAGGCTCAGATCGTGCCGTGACGGCTCTTGCTCCTGCAAGCATGCTGCGAACTTCGGCACGTCTCCACCAGGGCTTGAGAGAGCTGGCAGCACAGGAAAGATGTGCCCAAGCAATGCCTTGTGTGTGCTATGGAAACAATAGTCAACCTGTATGACAGGCTGGCGATCCAACTGTTTCTAACATGCACCATGCCTACCTTGGCTTTTGCACAGTGGGCGCACCAATCTCGGTACTGAAGATGAATCAATTGCTTCTGTTTTCTTTCTGAAGCAGTGGATGAAGGTGCATGTGGCCCTGCATATGTCCTCATGCTGCATACATCTGTGTAGGAAGCTTAGGCCGTGCAACATGAATGGATCTTGTTGGGTACCACGAGAACCTAGCGAGTGCAAGCCTACAGCACACCAGAATCCATGACTGAGTCACTGCATGACAGCCATGCCTGCCTCCAAGCCAGGAGACCACTCCTTCTGATAAGTGCGCACGCATGAGCGTCTGTCAAAACTTCTAGGCATGCCGTAACCACGGATGATTTGGACTCTCGCAACTCGGACTCTGCAGGCAGAGCTGTTCGGTTTGAAAGGCTCAATGGATGCTTTGCGGGTCGTTACTTGGGGTTGGGCAACTTTCGGTAGGGTCTTGCTTTGCATCGCTCCAAAAGTCACAAGAGTCGCAATGGAAACAATAGTCGACGCGTAAGACTTTTGCGTGGTGACAACGGTAGTAGTGGCAGTAGGGCTATCAGGCGCAGCAGCAGCAGCAGCAGCAGCAGCAGCAGGCATCCTCGTCGTCGTCGTAGTAAGTAGCTGTAGTCGTCGTCGTCGTAGCAGTAGTGGTGGTAGTTGTGGTAATGGTAGTGATAGTGGTAGTAATACTAATCGCAGCAACTACAATATTAATAATAACAGTTAGTAATAAATTTTTGTGTACACGTACGTAACATTAGGCCACTGCGTTTTATTCTGCCGCGGGTTTTCGTCCACCCGAACCCCCTCCCCAAAGCCCTAAATAAACCCCTCTTTCCTAATGTACTTACACCCTATACCAGCTCGTGGGCAAGGCGCGCTTTCCTAAACCGGTTTAGGGCCTCCTTTGGGCCGGTTTTTTGGAGTTAGGGCCTACTCTGGGCTGGGTGTAAGATTGTGGAAGGCTTAAGGCATAATGGGTTAGGCAGTACTGAAGGGTTTAGGGCTTAGTCTGGGCTGCTCGCGTTTAAGCCCGTTTACGATTTAGGGCCTCAAAGAGCATCCAGTCAACTCCAACCCCATCCATGGCTAATGCGAAAATCTCGACAAGCATGAATCGCCAAACCATGATACCGTCCACTCCGACCCAACCCATGGTTTATGCGACAACATCAGTGAGCGTCATAGCATCTATGGCCGAGGCGTGCTGACGTCCAGTCCTAAACCATGCATGGCTCATGCGAAAGCCTCAACGAGCATCCCTGACCAAACCACGATAACGTCCAATCCGAAACCATCCATGGCTCATGCGAAGCCTCAAAGATGCTCAAAGATCCCTGCACTCCGACCCCACCCATGGTTAATGCGACAACGTCAAAGAGCATCATCGCATCTATGGCCGTACCATGATAAGGTCCACCCCAACCCCACCCATGGTCAATGCCAAAATTCCAATCAGCAGTCATAGGTCGGTTATGGTCGGTTGTTTCAAGATGATGCAACTATCCGCCCGCAACACCCTAAACAAAAGTGCTCCTTGAGCCAATTTTTCGGTGAATGTGTCTCTTGCTAAATGGACTAGAAGCTCGGTTTGTCCCGCCCTTTTTTAAACCCATGCCGAGACAACCACTTGCTCTGTTCCCAGTGGGGGCCCTGTTGCCAGGTTGACGTTTTTCTCGACGAGGAAGCGTGTGGCGCATCTGGCATGTTGAAACCATTGTCGTATATAGCAGCTTCCGTTGAAATTACTGTTTGCTCCTGTACGTGGTCTGCTGAAATGGTGGAGCACGTGGAATGTTCGGCCTGGTGGCGGTGGTTCTTGACGTAGATGACAACCGTGTTGGCGAAGTGAGCTGACAAGTGATGTGCAGGGCCGAGGCATCGCTTGGATTATGGATCAGAACATATCAGAGCTGTGACGTTGACTCCGACTCTGTTGGCCGCAGCTTTTAGTGTATTTTTGCGAACCCAATGTCAGCAGAAGTCGTTACCTGCCCGCCTTCGGCTTCCTTTGTCCACTGTGCATGCCCCAGACAGGAAGTGGCGCACTCGGCATGAAATTTGCAAATGTTCTGATGAATCTGTTGCCTCAGTGCTCGGCCACAGGTCGTGATCTTGTCGTTGGAAGGGTGAGGCTTGTTGGAGAACCAGCAGGCGATGGCTAAATGGATGTGACCGCATGCGCCTTCTGCACTACAGTCCTTGAGTTCGTTCATAGCCGTGCAAGAACACACCGCAGCCCTTGAGCTCATGGCCATGCAAGAAGTTCGAAGCATTTCGGAGCGGCGTTTCTTCTCTTCTTGACAGGGCCAGTCTTGGAAGGAGGGTGTATCTTCTGAACTTGATCCTGTGGTTCTGCTCGGCCAGCGTTCATGAAGGTGTGATTGTTTTGGGCTTGCTGAGTCCTGCAGATCATGCCGACTGGCTCGACCTCCACAACCTGCGGAGCAGTGGAAGCGTTCTCCAAAGGCAAACCTTGTAGCCACCGGTAGCCATTTCCAGGATGTCGCCGTCAGTTTTGCAAGCGACCGACGTAGACTGCGGCTTTGTCTTAGTGGCCTCGGTGCGTCGGAGCTCCCATCCGACATCGGCCTCCTTGATCCTCCTCCTTGGCGATCCATTGAATCGGTTGAACTCAATGAGGTGCCCCCTTCGTGAACACATGCCGTGAGTTTGCGAGGTTAATAACTTGCCGGATTTTCTCGAGTAGGAAGCACGAAGCAGCAGTCTATACCGTGCAAAGATGCCTCCTCAGGTTTTCGACCCTTTTCAAGCGCATGCCGAACAAGGTCAGCCGCCACAATCGCCCTGAGGCCCCACGAAAATACAAGTTGTCGATGGTGAAATGCCTTTTTGCTTTGCCTTTGTTCTTGTCCTTGTGCTGAGCACTTGAAATGCTCATTGGCGCATTGCTTTTCTGCTTTTCTTGCCCTTCTCGGTCGAGCATGCACCCGAATGTGCAGCATTCGCCTCCACATCGGGAAGTCATGCTCTGTCTGTCGAAGTCTGTCATGAGGATTACACCGATATGTGTCCAGAGATTACTGATTCCTGCAAAGAGTCGAACAAGGACTTTTGGTGTTTCGGTCCAGATTTGGTTGCTCATCAAAGTTGTGCCCGCCGATCATCCCCACGATCTCGACGATGGCCTTGAACAGCTGCTCGTTTGCTCTCCCCGAAGATCGAGATCGAGGATGTGGTTGAAAGCCTGAGAGTGCCCTGTGCCTGGCGAGGTTGTGGCTCCCCTTCAAAACACACTGCCTGATCTGTCCATGGGGTCTAGCTAGGCATGTAGCTAGGGTTGAGCCTGCACTTCTCTCCTTGCTTGCCTTGCTGCTCTACTACTTTTCCAAACTGTGTTCTGTCCCTTACTGCTTGCCACGCATCACTTTCCGCTGCCTTGCAAATTCGTGAAACCACGGGTGTCGTCTGCTGTGTCTTTGGCGGTCACTGCGCCGCATCTTGGACTGTGTAGTGTCGCACAAACAAAACGAGGCTCTGCAACGCAAACACCTTAAACCTTCCATTTCAAAACTAGCTTGTTTCGGCGTCGACCTTTCTTGAAGCCTAGGAATGCCACGTCGGCCACTGCTACTGACCAGTGATGTCCCAAAATGACACACGGCAAAATCAAGCACACCTAGTAGCAGCAGCAGCAGCAGGAATAGAAGAACATGAAGCGGGAGTAGGAGCAGGAGTAGTGGTAGTATTGGTAGTCGTCGCCGTCATCGTAGCAGTGGCAGTGGCAGAAGCAGTGGCAGTTGCCGTAGCAGCAGCAGCAGCAGCAGCAGCAGCAGCAGGAGCAGACGCAGGAGCGGCCGTAGCAGTAGCTGGTCTGGTAGCGGTATCGGTAGCGCGGTAGTGGTAATGGCAGTAGCGGCGCTGGCATGCACGCACCTGTGCAAAGAATACAAGATGGCATGCAAGGTGTTCAATGCAATTTTCCTACGCATGAAGGACAAACATCTGCCGAGCCTAGCTTTGGGAGGATGAGGGATCACGAACAAGCTGTTAAAAGCTCGACTTCTCGATTCCATGCCAAAACAACCAACTAAAACAACCAATCAGATGATGGACCTCAACTCAAGAGCGGCTGTACTTGTGGAATGTGTCTGGGGTGCCTTGTGATGGACGCGGAAGCTGGACGGCCAGCATGAAGGACTTCCTTGCCCCCAAGCCACCAAGACGAAAGAGAAATTGCCACAGTGTGCCTGACTTCAAGCAAAGTTGGTCCATCATGTTCTGGCCTTGACAGTCTCGTGTCAGCATACCCGCTGCCCTTCGACCGGAACTCAATGGCCATGGCGCAGCCAGTGCCTCTGCTGAAAGCTATCAGCGAAAGCCACCGCGGAAACAACAGTCCAAGCAGCGTTGGCCATCTTTGGTCCGTCCTGTAGCAAGAACAACGTGCACTGTCGCAAAGAAACAGCTGCATGGCGCGTGGCATGAGTGCGCCTAGCCAGGACAGCTTGCATGCTCTGCTCAGAACCTGCAGAACTGAAACCGCGCGCCATATGTCTCAACTGCTTGCTTGCCTCGGGCGGTGGGCTTCTGGGAGTGCCATCCTGGCTCACCACCTCAGGCTGCTCCCTTGTTGCTTCTGGCAGTGTCTCACTCTCTGTCTGGGAGGCTGGCTCGAGAAAGCTCGAGGTCGCAGCCAGTAAGGTTTTCAATGAGAATGGTGACCTGCAGAGCTTCACATGAGATCGGCACATTGCCTGTGCCTAGTCAGGCTTCAGCGTTCTGATGAAGATTCTTCGTCGGCACAAAGGAAGCAAGACCGTCAAGCAGTGGATCACCAGAAACCATTAGCCGGATGTCAAACAGTAGTCGCTGATCAGTAGTAGTACGGTTCGGAGTGAAACTTTGCCACCTGCATAAGTACCGCACCTCTCTCATGGTCCACCAGCATGAGGCGGTCTGAATGGCCAGACTTCGCAAACTGGTTGCCCACGACTGCTGTAAAGTTATCCTGGTTTGTTGGTGCCTTGCTCATTACCGCACTGGACTTCACGCACTCACTGCTCGCTCACTCCGTCGCTGCCGTTCGATTGAGTAGTGCTCTGCGGCAGCTGCATTCTGCAACATGCTGCAGTTCTTTCCAAGGCATCGTTGCGCCCAGCTTGACTTGGGAAATACCAGCCGCCTACTGTCGTGGCTGCACCAAAGAAAAAGTCTTGTCTAAGCTGTTCATGACTACACATATGACCGAACTTCCCAAATTGATCTAGTGAACTATCCTGGGAACTCGCAGGAAATTGTAGATCGTAGAGGCTTAGAGCCAAAGTCTGCAGCTGTTCGACTGGTGTGCAGAAGTTGTTTTCCTGTGGGCAGGCTGTGCAGCTCCAAAAGTAGATTCGATATGCTTTTTTCTCACCGTCGGCGACGCCTCTGGGACCACCAGCGGTATAGACAATCAAAGGAGGTGTATGATACTGACCATGGCCCATGGCTATGTTGCAACAGAACTGCTCGTCGGCTTGTCGTTTTCACAACCCCTTCCTACCGCAAGTGCAGGGTGAACATATCGGGGCAGCAGCTGGCCAATGCGACTTCAAGGCTTCTGCATCCAGTTTTCTGACCGCGCAACATGGTGGCAACGGCCCCCTACCTGATCTCCCTCTGGCCGGCTCCAACCCCAAATCAGGGTTTCTCTCTCGGCCCGGGCGTGCCGCCAGTCGGCCCATCTAAACTCGGATATTTCACGATGAAGGCTTTTTGAGTTCAGATGCACGCGAGTCTATGCGGCATTCGTCGTCGCTTGCCAACGCGAAAGTGCATCTTCGCAGCAGGCTATGCAAAGATTTTCAAGAAACCAAACGGTAGTTCGCTCTCAACATCGACGAGGGTTACTCGGACACTGATCACTTTCTTCTCATTGGTAAGTATTCACTGTTCTGTTGTTCTCTGCCGAACCCGCCAACCACCAGGTTAATTACTAGGTTCGAGGTCATGTGTTGAGGCTTCAATCCGTTCTCTCGGATTTGCACTCGAGTCAGCGGGCCAGCAACGAAGCTACAGCAATTCTCCGATGTGCGGAGGCGCCTGCAGCTCAGAGTTTCAAGCAGTCCGACAGTCGTCTGAGGCTGACGGTACAAGGCAAAACCCAAAAAGGACAGCGCCTCGGGATCGAAAGCAGTCACGTTTGCTTTCGGAGCATTGTCCCATTTGGTTCGTCGCGGAACGACCTGACGACAATCAGTCTCGAAACCGGGAGCCCACCTGTTGCAATATGCCAACAGACACAAACGTTGTGCTGAGCTTTTCTGGTAGCAGCCCCTCGCAACGACAACAACGACATGCCTCGCCACGGAATGCTTCCGGCTTCTGCGCGGAACCTCAATCCATGCACGACATGAGTCCTGAGATAGTAGAAGGCCCTACGAAGGGCTCAGTCACGCTTCAGGCTTCAGGTGCAGATAATACCTCCGAAACGGCCTTTCAACAACGCCATGCTGTTCCAATTTCTACCACGAGTGCCTGCTGGAGCTGGAGTGTTGCCTCGTATCCGGCAAGCCATCACACGTTCAACACCGCACCTCTGACACACATGAAACTACTGATGTGAAAACGAGAGGTTGAGGCCTGGACTCACGAAATCCTGGCAAATGCTGCGCCACAGACCCTCGATCACTGTCGATTTTCTTATGAGACTGAGAGGCCTCTTCGTCGAAGAAGTTGGGGTCATTCCAGCTCTCCTCGTTCGTGTCATCAACACCCTGACGTGAGTCCTCGGCAGGAACGGCAAACAACATTCCTCACATGCAGTGATGAATGGCAACCTGTCATGCGAAGCAGTTCCTTGTCGTCGTCGGCAGTGTTACCGCCATCCTCAGCAGGAAGCGTTCTGAGCCCACAGATCAGCCTGGTGGAACGGCACTCTGGATGCAATCAAGCGGCATAGCTTTGCTTCTCATCACCTGCATTTCTAGCATGTCCAAGCTTCTGCTACATTGCATCAAAACACCGGTCCTTGCTTCCAGTTCCAATTTTTGCGGCCCTTCCAGCCGCCACCTGCAATTGAATGCCACGGATCAGCTTACAGAAGCTCAGCTTCCGCTGCCCCTGCAACAGAGGCCTGACTTCCCGTCGCGGTTCCGCCTTCGTGACGCATAAGGCAAGGGCACCAAGTCCGGAGCGGTGTGCAATCACCGGCACGTCGCCTCTTCCCCTTCTTGCCCTGGCCTTGAAACAGGTGCAACGTTGCAACCACCGCAACTTGTCTGTCACGTTACGAGTGATGCTTCTCCTTCGTCTTTGGCAAGTGCAAGCAAAATTGGGAGGCTAAGCTGAAGAGGACCAATCCCAGCAAAACAAAAGACTCTGCAATCTGCGCGCACTCATTTAGCGCAGGCACATTCACATGGCATCATGGACACAGAGGGCTACGTTCCAGACGTTATGTTGGCATCCTTTTGAAGTAACACACTTGCGAATTCCGTCCCGGCACATGCTATGAAGCTGGCAACACACACGAACAACCTGGCCTTTGCCACCCTTTCCACGGCCTTGGCCAATTGGCTGACGCCGTTCCCTGCAGGTCAGATGCTTGGACAAGGCTTGCCGAGATGGCTACCGATTAATCGGAATCTGACAGCAAGCAGCACCATTAACCTGCTTGCATTCACAAGTCGTGTGGCTCGGCTACTCTGGGGATTTTGCTTTAGAAGCGACTGGCACCTTCTTGTCACCGGCTGAGCCGCAAGGGTAGAATGTTCGTGGCTGGGCCTGTCGTTGTCGTCGCGGCGACCGTCGCGATCCTCGGTAGGAGGTTCCAAGGACCGGTCTAGCTAGCATGCTGCATGGGCCGTCTGGCATGTTATGCAGCTGCCCTCTGAAAACTTCACAGTGCGACGGGCTGTGTGCTAGAAGCCAGGTGGCATTGGTGCCATAGTTCTGTTGCTGCCTGCAGCTCGAAGTTGCAAAGACAGTGCTGTCCTGCCTTCGAGCTTGTAAACTAGTAACTAGTTCGCTGAGAAGCGGAAACATGCCACAAGATGTTGCCCCGAGCCCCGGAAAACGGAAAGCCGGCAGGTGCGTGCCTCCACCTTACTTTTGGAGGTCCGCCATCCACGGTCGTGTAGTGCTTCAAGAAGTTCTGAGCACGGGTCGAACATGGCTTGGCACAGCAGTTGCGCCAGAACATGGAGTAAGTAACAGCACCCAAGGAGTTCTACAGCTTCATTCGCATGCAGGCTGTACATGCAGTGAGGTGCAGCAGACGCGTCGAGTTGCTGTTCCTTATTAGCCAAGACGCAGAGACATTCGGATCTTTGTCCCAGCTTTCGTTGACCTGGTTGCTTGTGGAAATGTCGGCGTCTCCGGAACAGTCAGGTCTGCATTAAGTTCTGGCATGCGAGCATGTCCACTTCCTCCTATATTCCTGCTTCATGTGTCGGCATAACGAAGACAAATGCAAGACGGGCCAAGCGATGTCCGCTGGCAGCTGGGCACCGGGGCTGGCCGTTGTCGGAAGGCCAGAGCACGAGTCTAACAGTCTGAGGGCGAGACGTTCACACGGATCGTCACCTCTCGCTGCACTTTTCTGGCGTACTCTTGCAGGCCTCAGGACTATGATTCTGCTTGCCCATGCCTCGCACAAGTCAAAATGCCTTCTGAAAGAAATGTGCACATGTCTATGTCGCATCCAGCGCCCAACAATGTCCAGCTCAGGCCCCGCACAAGCAAGTCGCCGGGCATCCAAGCAGATAATTTGTCCTGTGGTGGTTGGCGGGGGAGTCGAGTTGCGACATAGCCTTTGCGGACATGGGAGCTCGAAGGATCCTTGGTGGATCACACACCGGAGCTTCAGGAAGTCATCTCTCAGCGGGTCAGCCTGGTGGACAGCTGCTTTGGCTAGGATAGCACATGATTTGGCGCGCCCCCCACACTCATCAAGCGGATTTTGGAGGGAAGCATTGGACGGCATCTCCGGCCTCGGCCAAGACCAGCTTGTCGACCAGCTCTTGCATCGGACGTCCTGACAAGACCGGGAAGAGACAAGTCGCCACTGCTTTTCTTCCGTCCAGGGCGGTCGAGTGATGCTGGGCCCACATGAGGTTCTCAGCGCGCGACCATCCTGGAAACAACCGCCTCAGATGCCCAGGTCTTCTTCTGTTTGCCGGTGTCGACTCACGACGACTCACGACCACTGTCAGTCTGCCGGTCGAAACTATGATGATTCGCAATGGACGAAATCTACGATTCCTCCAAGTCTTGGCCGGGAAGCGTATGTCGATGGGGTGGGGGCTGCATGAAACCACTTGGTCAAGGAGCATCTCCTCAGCACCCGGAGGCCGCCGTCGCTTCCATGCTGGGCAGTCAAGGTAACCAGAGCCGAGGCGATGGCCTTGTCGCCCAAAGGGTTCTCTTCAACCTTTTCGCGCCGTCGGCCTTGGTGGTTAAGGCAGGAGACCTGCACTGCAGGTCCTCCAAGCTGCTGCTGCAACTGCGTGCACAGCATCATCCACTGATGCGGGCAGCAGCTTGTGACCTTCCACAAGTTCCAGAAGTCTAGGCGCCTGGCGACGTTCGCCTCCTGCGAGCACAGAAGAGGGCAGCCAATGAGAGCACAAGGAAGCGTGCATACTACGTGACATGTCCAGTCTCCGCACTCACGTTCCTATAACGAGCCACCAACATCTGCCAACCGATGTCCCGTGACTTCAAACTCTCAAGCAGCTTGGCTTAGCTGCGGGTACATGTATGGGCATGTGACTATATTTTTCAATAGTGGCACTTGTACACCTACAGACTGCTTTTGTACGAAAGCTCAACGTGACCATCCTCGGGAGCGCGAAGCCGACCGCCTCAGCTCCGGCAAAAGAGCTACCCTCCCTCCCGTTTCCTGCATCTCCAAGCAGGGACCTCCGAAAGCACCCCCATGCATGACGCTTGGGGTTCGGTAACAAATTACAAACACAGCATGTCCAAATCTGAGCCTCGTGGTGTCTCCCCTGGCGATGCACCATCCCGACTCGAATCCCGACATGGCCCGACATGGGCAGAAGTGTTCTCAAGGCGTGCTGTTCCTGACATCCATAACTCGGATCCCTGCGATCTGCGGTGCCGCTCACGACCTGCGCAAAGACTTTTAAAAAAGCACGGCGTAGCAGAGACCTGGTGGAAATGCCAAGGCCTCGATGAGGCTCTCTGTGCCTTGGTTCCCAGAAGCATATACTGCTCTCTATTGGGTGCCTAGGCCATATAGAATAGAACACTCTGGAAGCATGCCGTGGCATGATACATGAGCGGCCTCTGCCGATGCCTAAACGGAAGCTTTACAACACATTGATATCCCAAAAAGTGTCCGATACATGTTTGAACCCGGACTCTTCAAGTCAGCTGGCACGACAGGCTTCCCTCTGGAGCAGTACAGTGTTGCACGCAACCCTAGACAAGCTCTGCAAAGTGACGTCCATACTCAATCTTGCCTCTTTGGCACAGAGCTGCAACCACCGAAAGTCCGTGAATCTCAGCTGCCGACCTGTCTCGTTCTCTCCTCCTGGGTAGAACCAGCATCGGCCACAGGCATTCACCCAAGCTGCCCCAAACTCTCTGTCTTACCCGATTGACGATCGAAATAGAAACATCTTGGACACACCCCTTCTCGGATGCCTGAAAAAACCGAAGTTGATGCAGGAACCAATCATCTCCCACCTGAGTGATCGTGATCTCCGCCGGCGTGACCTACCATCAACCAACTGCAGATGCACTGCTTTCGCATTTAATGTCTGCTAGCCTGTTTAACGTTATCTTTATGATCGTTTACCGATTGCCAGTATTGATGTGACGTTGCAGCGCCCCGTGCTTCATGCCGACAGGTGTGCTTCCGAGACCAGGAGAGGCCGCGAGAATGTCATGTTGAAGCTGCGACGTCCAGGAACGCAGCAACAAAGGAATAGCAAAGCCAGACTTCCCGTGACCACAGGCTTGCACTCTGGTGCCTAGAGCGGGACCGCGAAAATCTCTGCGTTCTCGATCTGACAGGGGCGAATCGTTTTGAGCGGCATTTATCCGACAGCACTTCTAGCAAGAAGCTGCTTCCAAAAGCCAGGCTCTGCAACACACGTCAACATCCTGCACCTCGAAGCGTCGGGGGCTTCGTCCTCAGCATGCTGCTGCTTATTTCTGCGGCAAGCGGGTTGCAATGCACAACCCTTGGGCGGGCGGCCAGAGGCTGCCGCGCCTGAACAGGTCAGCAGTAACTCGTGGCTTGCATTCAACTGTTAGTTTTCACAGGAGGGCATCAACGCTCCTACAGATGGAAACTGCTAAGATTTACACATCGAGACTTAGCATGATTCTGCCGGTGGCTAGCTTGCGAGTCCTGCCCTCGGCTTTTTCCGATCCGATCGCAAAGCTCCCGAGCTGCAGAGCAGGTTGAGAGCGCGACTGCATAATAACAGCTCGACGTGCCGCACAACGACTACGCGAGGACGGCCACGCCGGTGGGAGGAGGCCAGCGAAATGTTGTCGCGAGCATAGCCTTGTTTTAAGAGAGCCTACCCTTCAAATTCTCTAGCATCTAGAACGCCTTCGTGCTTGCAGTGTTTACGACTACGACACGCCTTGCCGAGTAAGAATTTCATTGGCTTCACCCAGAGCATCCTCAAGCTGGCACGAGATGCGTGAAAGACATAAGATACTAAGATAATTGCTTCCAGACACACACGCACACAAGCCTCCGCGTGTTCTGCCATGCTAGGATTACGTTCAGTATGTACTCTCGCTGGAACAGCTCGTCAAGGCTTGCATTTGCATGGGCATACAGAGCCTTCAAAGGCGCTTCTCGGCTGTGCCGTCAGACAAAGGGACGCAACAGCTTCAGCTGTTTGCGGTTGTGTGCACAAGCGGCTTGGAGATCGTAGCTAGAGTACTTTCAGTGATCAGGGCAGGCGACGAGTTATGAATGCCATCTGATACGTTAGCCTTGTGCACAATGCCGCTCTAGCTGATGCTGGGAAAATCTACGTTGGGCCGTCTGGCCTTCCGATAAGCTTGCAGCACTGCCCAGTGGCCGCATGACGTCTGTAGGTACTCGCAATGGCATCCAGCAGGTCACCACACTTTGGAAGTTCGGCCACAGGACACACGAAAACCCAAACTTGAAAAAGATGGTCCATGGCCAAGGTTCGAGAATGTTCGAGACCTTTGCCTTCAGATCTGCCAGCAACCCCATCCCAGTTATGAAGTTAGTGCAAGAAGGAAGAATAGAGAACATGCCCAGAAGACTGCACATGTAGGCTTGGCCTAAGCCATGCTCTCAGTGGCTTTCAGTCTCGTTGAGTCATTACGATTGCACCACTATTTTTAACTGGGGCACTCGCTAGTCTTGCCACGTTTGCGTTGGGCACCAGTAGAGACATTCGGGACCTGTCTTCTTGCAAGGTAGCCTTGAGTTCACGACGACGTTAGAGAAAGGTTGGTTTGAGACACTTTCGGAACACCACGCAGTCAATATTTGCTGGCATATCGGGCGGCTCAGCTCAGTGTGCCTACACACTGCGGCATGAGCCTCCGATTGAAAAAAAGACGTGTGTGGCTCAACTCTGTTAGTGTACCATCCGGAATGCATCCCCGTGGCTTCACCCCCCATGCAGTTTCACCAGCATGGAATCCTGGAAGGATGAGGACACCGCTTACCAAGGTGCAACCGCCTCAGTCTTGTTTGGGGACCTCCGTCTCGTGTGACAACATACCTTGGCACGACTTTGCGTGAAGCATCATGAAGCCATGAAGGTGCGTGCCGCAGCTTCGTGTTCAGTCTGCCCGGATGAGGCAATGCCGAATGTTGAATATTGCCAGCTGTTCACCGGCTGCTACGGCCCTTGCGACCCGACCCTTGCACGAACGGAGAACACATCAGCTGGGTTGGGCTCAGGCCCTCTCTCTTTATCGTCTTCTTTCGCGCTTGAACTCTCAGGGAAATCCGTGAAATCATGCAGGTGGCCTCCTGCGCGCATACACACATCCGCTTGTCTGGACGTCCAGCTGTCATCAGCTACACGTTCGCTTGGTTCCCCGATCTGTTCCGTCTCGCTGTCTGGTTCACGTCCGGGTGGTATTTTGATGACCATTGTTCCCGCATTCGCGGTACGTCGTTCCCCTTCTTGGTCTCGGGGATTGCTGTGCCGCTGGGCTTGCAAGCGGCAGGCCAAGCGCTTCCCCGCCTCTTTGGCTTGGTGCTTGTTTGGCTCGCTCGCATCATTTTCCACAGGCACCGTCTCCATCGTGCCCCTGAAGTTCCTCGCACAACTTCGTCCTCCTCCCTACGTTGTTCTGGCCCTCAGCTTAGAACTGGTTCGTAGCGTTCAGGTAGTTTCGGAGCGAGTGCAATTGGCGAGGGATCACCTCCTGGAGCACTCTGGCACCCCCCATTCTGCTCGTAGCTCTTCTTCGCCAAGGGACTTGAAGACTGCCCCGATGGCTGCATCGCACGGCCACGTGGGATCGATGTCCTCTGCCATCTCTATCTCTGGGGTCCTAGGTGCAATGTTGCCGGCCCAAAGACCACTTCGCCATCGCTGTGGGGATTAGCGGAAGCGTGCTTGGCGGATCTGGTTGCGTCGTCTCCCCCCCGTCCGGGCTCTGCGCTTCGGTTTGGTCAGGTTCCAGAGCATCTCGCCACGACCACTGGCAGCAGGACCCTGCGCCGAAGCACAATAAGGCGCTATTAGGCGCTATAAGCTAGGCTATAAGCACATTCCATCATCCTGGTCGCAACCTGCCCCCTCCGGGCAGCATCTAGATAGTACCGCCATCCCCCTCCGGGCGTTGTCTTTTCTTTCTTTCGCCAGGGTTCCGGGCTCGAGGGTTGCCCTCACTCTTTCTTTCGCCAGGGCTAAGGACACAGGGAAGACCCCGGTGCCTGCGCGCATCATCAGCGCCCCCGACCGTTGCAGAGGGCATAGTGAGAAAGCAAGCTTCACAAGGCCACTTATCGAAGGGAGGCATGTCGCAACACAACAGAGGGAAAGTATAAGTGACTGGAAACTGTGACGGTGGGAGCTTTGGCAAGGTATCGAATTATCGTCGAAAATGTCAATGCTATCTTCAATGTCGCGACGATGCATGCTGATAGCCGTGAGGTGCAATCCGTTCTATTAGCAAAGACCAGAGAGTACAGCCAAATAAACCCCGCCTCAACCTACTCAAGGGAACCTGAACTGAACCGACTGCATGCAGAGGCTACGCGGGAAATTCCCCCATGAAATGTTGGGAAGCTGCTTCGTTGTCAGTACACCTACACACAAAGAAAGAACGAAATAGGAGGACAGCGTCACCCGAACAAAAGGCAAGCAGCTTGGCCCAAAGAGGTATAACACTCACACTCTCTCTCTCTCTCTCTCTCTCTCCGTCTTCTTCCACAGGGCTTAGGGGACTGTCAAGGTTCCCTGGCCTATTGGCCCCCCATGTGTTATGGGGCGTTGAAGGGACAGTGAAAGCACACAGGTTAAACATGAGTTCTCCGGAGTGCTGAGTGATTAAAGTACACTCTGATGTTCACCCCTGTTTCTGTGAGACACCCAAAACTGAATTACTTTGCAATGCCTGGAGATTTGCCAAAAGTTGATGCCACCCAGCACTACATGAGGATACCAGGAACCAGATGTAATAACTGCAGAAGCATCAAGTGACTCTTTTTGTAGTTCTGCACACATGCTTCTGACTCCCCTCAGAGATAACAACAATTGACATGCTACCTAGAAAGAATAGAAAGAGTCTCTTCTTCTTCTTCCCCAGGGCATGAGGGGTCTGTTAAACCCCCCGGCCAGTTGGCCCCCCAATTGTTATTGGGGCTTTCGGAGGGTGTGAAAGATGCTTCTGAATTGGTTGAAACAGTGCTTCTTGGGGGCATGTGGCCAAACTATGTAGCAATATGTAATGAGAAGTTCCCCGAGGCACTGCTTCATGCTTCAGTTGACAGTGCTTGTTGGGACACCACGACGTCACTGCGGCTTTCCTTTGTGAAGTGCTTGACTGAAAACTAACCATGACATGCTCCGCATGGACGTCCAACTGAATTCATTACTTGGCGGAGTGTTCCCCGGGGCACCACT